TTCCTTCCTTCCTTCCTTCCTTCCTTCCTTCCTTCCTTCCTTCCTTCCTTCCTTCCATGAAGAACTGAGATCTCTTGAAGAAACCTTTTTCAAAGAAACCCTGTGTCTCCCTGCAGGCGGACATCTGGTCCCTGGGCATCACTGCCATCGAGCTCGCCAAAGGAGAACCTCCCAACTCGGACATGCATCCGATGAGAGTGCTGTTCCACATTCCCAAATCTCCTCCTCCGATCCTGACAGGCGATTTCTCCAAGAGCTTTAAAGATTTTACCGAGGCCTGTCTCAACAAGGACCCCTCATTTGTAAGTAACGCTGCAGACACACGTATCATCAGCATGTGAACTCGGCGCCCTCCAGCTAATGTATCAGTGACCGTCAGTATGGACATGTCATTTTAGTAAAAAGATATTTTATGTATTTAGAAGATTTAAAAACATTTTAAAAAACCGACAGGAAATATTACCCTGATGGTGAATTGGATCAGCATAAGTTTAATCAAAATCCAGCATGGCTGCCATGTGTGATCAGTGGTAGATGATGTGCTTTTATTCCATTAAATCATTTCTCATTTTCACAGTACTGAACATCAACTGTCAGCGGAAAAAAAAGATATAAAAAAATTTGACTTCAATCTTAAAGGTGTACATTGGGCCCTCTTCTATGCCCATTTACTATTCTGATGTGTGTCCGGTTCAAACTTATTGATAAGTTTTGCTTCACAATCTTGCGTCTTACTTTTTCCCTCCACCAAACTTTCAATTCAAATTCTTCTTACGGTTTTCTGTGAACATTCAGCCTCTATAATGGTTATTTGTGATGCTCTTTCCCTGTGGAGTGAGTCAAACCTGTCAAGTCAGCAGTTTTTCCCCATGATTGGGAGGGCAATAAAATTCCATCTCTGAATAAAACTTATTTTATTAGTCTTATGTAACATTCTTTATTTGTGTAAAATAAAAATAAAAACTTATTCAATATATATATATATATATATATATATATATATACCTGGGAATTATAATTGTTGTTAAATGAAATAAAACCAATGACGTCCTTAATCTTGAAGCTGTTACAGGTTAAATTTGTTGACGTCATTCTGAGAGTTCGAACTCCATAGAGGCCTAGCAAACAGGAAATGTTTCTATCCATCTTACTTGTATTTGTCATTAGGGATCTTCTAATCTAGATTTCAGGTGATCTTTGAGTCATTTCAGATTAGATATTTTGGCAGGGCGGTGTCTCTTTCTGATACTTCGAGGTTAATAAAATCTGTGGCATAAATATGGTTTAAAAAGACCAGCAATAAAAATGAGCATAAGTTTCCTTGTGTGTGTGTGTCAAGTTAAGGCTGTAAACAGCTTCTATGTAATAACTGATAAAATATGACTTTTTTTTTTTTTTTTCTACGGTTCTGTAAAAAGCATTTTTGCTCCGTTTTGAAAAAGTCTGATGGTTTCACTTGTTTAGGTAGACTTCATTTGTGTTGTGGTTTAAGTGTGGATTTGCTGCCATCTAGTGGTTTAAAATAAAACCATCTCATTCTTATTTATAACTAAAACATGAAAAATTTAATCTGCTTTTATTTCACTTTTTTATCCTCTCTGAATCAAAGCTTCTAATCACCGTCTTTAAATATGTTCTCTCTGCTCTTTCCATGCAGCGTCCCACAGCCAAGGAGCTGCTCAAACACAAGTTCATCGTCAAACACTGCAAGAAGACGTCCTACCTCAGCGAGCTGATCGACCGGCACAGGCGGTGGAGGGAGGAGGGCCACAGCGACAGCAGCTCCGACGACTCAGACAGGTGATTGACAGCTTTCAGATGGTTGGTTAGTAAAACTGTGAGCTGGAATAACTAAGCAGGAGTTTGTTTGTTTACATGTGAAGTGAATCCAGTAATAAAGAGAACAGCGAGTGTCCTGAGTGGTCGTTCACCACCGTCCGTAAGAAGAAGCCAGAAGGCAGGAAGGTTCTCAACGGGACGGTCAGTTTACATCATTTTATCTACAAGAATTCATCCATTTAGATTCACATGCTGAAATGTTAGAGAAAATAAACATTTTTTAAACATTCAATTAAGTTTTTCAATCAATTTGAATAAAATAAATGCAGCTTTAGGTGTAAATTGAGAAGAAATGAGTCATTATGAGGTCAATATAAATAAACTGAGTTTTTCTTCTTCTTTTCCTTTTTTTAGAGCCAGGATCAGCTGAGTAAATCTTCCAGTTTGTCCACGCTCATCGCTCCAATCTTCTCTGAGGTTTGTATAAACCCTGTTGGTATGGCTTTAGAGGGTTCCGCCAATTTTGAACTTTTAGGCATTTGTAGTTTTTAACAACCTATTCAAACTGTACATCCCCAAGGTTAACGTTTCATAATCACATTGAAAATAGTTAATTTTAGTCACTTTAAAGTCATTTTTCCACATACTGCTCATAGTGCTGGATAAGGAAATAAGTTTGCATGATTTTAAGTAACATCTAACATTAGGAAGCATGTAGGTTAGTTATATTTTGTGTTTTTAAGCTGTTTTAATTCATAAATAGAGCCATCTGGCTCATGCAGATGATCAGGGATCATAATCAAACTTTTTTCTTTTATTTTAAATAAACTAGTTAAGATAATTAAATGTAAAGAAAAAGATTTTTAGAAAATGACAAAGTTCTTGTTAGTCAGCGCTTTTTGCGATTGTTTTTGCACACCACCTCATAGCTTTTAATTGTAATTGTGACACTAAAGTTGGTCCTTTTTAAAATGTTGTCTCTACAGTTGAAGCTGCAGCACAAGGAACACTCTGAGCAGCGACAGGCTATTGAAGAGCTGGAGAAAAACATTCAGCTGGCTGAAAAAAATTGTCCAGGCATCACAGACAGGATGGTCACACACATCGTTGCCAGGTAACCAAAGTTTTTCATACAGGTTCAGCTTTCTATGTGCTACCTAGATGTGATGGCCTTTTTTAACATGTTTTTTTTTTTTTTGTTTTAAAATAAACAATTTTTATATATAAAAAAGTAATTTACCAATATCACCAATAAAATGTGTAATTTTAACTGATTGATAATTTCTTATTCTTTGTTCTTGGATGTAGTTGCTGGATGATTCTTATTGTTTATTTAGTAAAAACCTTTCTGTTCTAGATATACAACAAAATGATGAACGGATGGAGGGAATAATGAAGGAAAATAGGAAAAGACTGTCTCCCTGAAGGGGTGACGCTGCTTGATGATGAAAACGGAGAAGATCTCGCGGTGCGACGTCTCCTCCGTGTACACACATGACTCATCACACACTAATAATGTAATATATACACTATGTTTTATATATTTACTGCTGCTGGTTGTGGACATTTTTCCTGCCTTTCGTTTGAATAGGAAATATAGACTTTTTTTGTTAGAAATATGCAGATCAATGAAAAACCACCAGTGCCTTGAATATTTTGTCATTTTTTTTAAGCATAAGATTATCAATGTTTTTCATTGTTTTAACAAAATCCCTAGAAATGCAACACAGACAGTTATGTCCATCAGCAGTAGTAGCTTCTGTCTTTGTTTCATGACTTGCTTTAAGTTTGTACGTGTCTGTATGTTTGTTTAGTAGCACTTGAGACAGATTCTCTGCCAATAATACATTTGTTTGGTGTTCTTAGTAATGCTGTTTAATTACAGTTCCCTAAACTAAAGTTCAGTGGAGTTTAGAATACCTCAGGTTGTTAACTTTAGTTATCAGTTAGATTAAAATGTGACGTTGATATTAGCCTTCATTGGAGATGCCCTAAGCATTTACAGAGAAAAAAATATATATTTAATTTAATACATTTTAAAATATTTTTTAAAATTTTGCCCTACTTTTAACAGGTACAGGCAAATTTCAGAACTTATCGCGGTTCAAAATCCTCAAAAATTTTGGGAGCCGATACAAACTAGCCTAGCTAAGCCGCTAAAGTCTGAAACCTTCACTTCAGTCAATAGTTCAGGGCCTCGCAAGCTAATTACTAACGCGGCTAATATAAGCAAAGAAAACGGGCTTAATTTTTTTTTATATTTCCCCAAACAATATTCTTTAAAACTGAGGACTTTGATCCTATGTTTTAAAATTTGAAGGTGTTCCAAACAAATGAAGGGTAATTACACAAACAGAAAAACAAAGCTAAGTCTTTAGCAAGTTTTTGAGACAATTGAGTCCGGGGTTTTTCAGGGACAGCCATATTTTTGAAAACTGATTAAGTTAAAAAAAAAAAAATAGAGCTAAGAGAATCTAGCCGAGCTAGGCAGCTAGTAGCTTTTTGAGCGGTTTACTAGCTAGCTTACTTAGGCTAACTAGTAAACTTCAACTAAGCTAACTAGTTAATGTATTTTTGTAAATGACATAAAATGATGTAGGTACAAATTCTCTTTTTTGTTGCTGTTTTTATTTTATGTTTTTGCTTTGGGTTGTGAAATAATTCTTTTACTGTGAAAGTTTCTTTGTTTTGTGCCGTTTGAGGGAGTTATTCAGAAATAAACGTCTTCCATAGTTATGGAAAGTCAGACTTTCTGTATGTACAGAGTTTGGACATCTATGTAGAGAAATGTTGTCAGAAAGTTATATTTTTAAGGAACTATTCATTGTCTTAAATATTGTTTTGAACGTTTCCCCCCAAAGATAGTGCTGGGAACTGTAATTAAACATATTACTGACAGTTTGTACCAAAGACACTATAAGACTTGGTCTCTGTACATTTTTTTTTCTTTTTTTGACTTTTTATATATCATAAGGGATTTAACAATGCTTGTCAAAGGGGGAATTGTAAAATTACAGTTGTACAATTTTACAGTAAAAGTTTTTTTTTTTTTGTAGCAGGACCTTTAGAGTTTTATGAATAAATATTTAAGCCTGATTGAAAGAGAAAAAGGTGCTTTATCTGTTTATGGGTGGAACGGCTTACACTGCCTAAACGTTAGCTTTGTTTTTATTTATTTTTAAATAAATCATAATTATGATAATCATATGGCCAATGATTACAACCGATGGACTTTTACGTTTAAGTTTTGATATTTTAGATGGTTATTTCTACAACTGCAATTAATTTAAGCATTTTTTCTAAGGTTTCCGCAGGTCATAAAAATTCATTAAAATTCATTAAATTACGGTATATATTTTTTTAATTAAGGCCTTAATTGGCATAAAAATTAATTAAATGTGATTATCGTGGCATTTAAAATTCTTTGTTTTTTAAAAGTACGTTTATAAAACAATTTCGTCAGATATATTATATCATGATATATTTGCGTTGAACTGCTTCTGGTTGATCATAAAGCTGTATTTTTTTGGAAAATGTCAACAAAAGTGGCTGGAAAATGAGGAATTCAGGACATAATTGCAGCCTGTTGACTATAAAGATGACGACGGATATATAAATATATATATATATATATATATTCATAAATGAATGTCACGTGTACTTTTTGATGGCATTAAAATGATTTCCTAGAGCCTTAAAAGAGCATTAGAGTTACTCATTCCTGTATAAGCCCTGTTATCAGAACACATAAATTAGGTATAAAATGACCAAATTATATACATTCAATAACATTTAAGTTACAAAGTAAATGTACCAATATTGTTCATGTAAAGCTTAAAATTATGCGTTTTTGAAACAGTTGATCACATAGTAGCAGTGTTGTTTGACATTATTGCCATTTGACCGTTTCTGCAACTTTCCAGTAAATTGGCTTCTTCAATATTAATGAGGTTCTAAGGGGCATTCAAAGTTTTTAAGAGCTTTATGTTACATTGAAGAGCCCTTCAAGTTCAGAAAATTTGCCTAGTCCAAAGTTTAAAGCAATTACTCCTAGTGATGCTCAAGACTTTTTTAGAAATTTAGATATATACTGTAAAAATTACTGTGAAGAAAGAAAAAGAAAATCATTATGCTTTTGCACTGTGCTGTATCATTTGATAAAAGCTTACTTTGAGTTTTCTTAAGGGATTCTCATACTATTTTGAGAGTTTAGTACACCATTAATCCTGATGAATTAATGAATCAAAAAGGCCATTAAGGAATTAATTGATTCCATAAAACATTAAATTAAATAAAATTTTAAAACAACAAATATAGACTCAAATTAGCTGTTTTAAATTATGCTGTGAGGATGATTTTCTTATCACACTGGGTAGACATAAATATTGGGCATTCTGGGGAAAACAAACCTGTTAGAAGTTGCACAAGACTTGAGACCGGGCTAAAGTTCACCTTCCAGCAGGACAATAACCCAAAAACATGCAGCAGGGGCTACCATATAATTATTTAGATAAACCTTATTCATGTGAGGAAAGCCCAGTCAAAGTCCAACTTGTATCCAGGCAAGAATCTGTGGCAGTCTGACTCAGCCTTTTCCATTACGTCAACAGGAATGGACAAATTCCAGACTCTAGATGTGCAAAGCTGCCCCAAAAGACCTGCAGCTGTAACTGCAGCAATTATTATAACATAGATGGAAATCAAAGACCACACTTAGAAGTTATATCCATCAGAAAATGTAATTCACGTTGATGTAAACAATGAAAACTTTTTGTAAATCTTTACTGGATGATCTTACATTTACTAAACACCAGTCGTTTCTAACAGTCACTAATACAAGGCAACAATGTGTTTTGTCTCCATCTTGACATCACATTTATTGTCCTCTTTACAATGCACAATTGATTTATCTGGAGAAGCAACCTGAAGGCTTTGACTAATGAACCATAAATCTTGAGTGAGTAAAAATCCTTCATAGGGTGACTTGAGTGATCTTTGCCGCTCCTTTTGTCTTCTCACCCTCGCTGGTTTCTCTCTTGTCCGGTTCAACCTTGGTCTCTGTCTTAGAGACACCTGTCCTTTCTTTCTCTTCCTCCTCCCCCTCATCTTCTTCATCCAGCTGTAGACTTCCAGAGGAAAACCTCATCCTGGCCAACCCGGCAGACCCCACCAACTTCCCCAGCTGATGAGGTTGGCAATAATACGGGTAGAAAACCTCTGGATCTGAGTCGCTGTAGCTTCCTGCGGCGCCGCCGATCACGCACATGGAGGTGGGCCGATCTGGCAGAGGGGAGGAGTTGAGTGGGAGATACGTGGGTCTGGAGGGCCGCGTCAGATGGGGGTAGTAACCAAGGGGTCTAAACTCAGAGGCGGGGTTAAAGGTTGGGTTTGTACTCCTAGATAGATGAAACTTAACATCTGGTTGGCTGGCCACGCGACGAGGTAACCCGGGTAAGAAGCTGGAGTCATCACTGTAATGCCCTACCTCTGTGCGTCCAACACCAAGTAACCTTCCTCCATTGCTTCCCGCTTGATAAACCCTAGCCAGTCCTAGGCCTCCCGTACCGTATGGGCGAAAGTTCCTCCTAATTGGTGAGACGGATGGCGAGTCATGGGCTAAGGGGTAGAAAGCAGGCCGCGAGACACAATCAATTGGCACATAGTCCTGCCTCCTTACATGGGGGAAACGCTCAAGTGAGGAAATGGCGACATAATCTGACAAGTAGGGTTGTCGGTTTAGAGGCGAGGGAGCGGCGAATGGAAATGATGGGAGAACGGGGTGATACTGGTAGGCGGGGCTGTTGGGGTAGAGAAGAACTAACTGCTGAGCCGCATCCGGATGTGGCTGCGGGTTGGGCCGGCGTCGGGAGCGGTTAGCATAGACCCCCGCTAGCCTTTGGGCTTGACGCTGCGCCACGTTCCTTTCCCCCCTCATGTCCTCCATTAGTGACACTGAGGAGGATCTTAACTTGGGTGAGGGGATTGACCGGTGGTGCCATGGAGAGAGGGGGGTGACTTGAGCGAGGGAATGTGGCCTCTGATTGACCTCGCCAGATGATTGGCTGCGTTTAGCCCCTCCTTCACAGAGATCAGCGTTATTTAGCCCTCGTCGGCGTCCGTCCGTTTCATCCTGACTGTGAACCGCCAGAGTGCGCCTGGTCCGAGGAAAAGGGCGCGTCTGTTCATATATCTGTGGAGGTAAAATTTAAGCTGTTAATACTCTTATTATAATAATACTGACAATTTGGTTGCTGTTTACACACAAGAGTCATTTAGATTACAGATCTTAAAATTACCAAAACCCTAAAAGAAGCTATTGGATCCAAGGACGTAGCAAGTTTCTTTTAATTTCGGAAACCCTTTTTGTCATCTTAACTCTTAGAATAGTGCTTGTCAGCTCAAAGCTTTTTTGTAATAAAGAGGATCAGTTTACCTCCTTGGAAACATCAGTGAGGAGATCCGGAGAAGATCGACACTGTCTGGGGTCATGGTCGGACTGACCGTAGGTTCTCAACACACAACGGGAAAAAAATAAGACTTTTATTTCAGCATTCCCAAAAAAAGCCCCTAATATTCACTGTTATTGCTGTATATATTGAGATACCACAACAACGTGATTTTAACACTTGTGCACAATAATTTAAAAAGAAATACAAACCTTTTAGAAATCAGCTTTTATCATACAACCAATATATTTTTTTCATAAATTCTGAAAATTATTAACATTTTTTAAAATGAGAAAAGTCAATAACTATTGTTGAAAACATGCAATAAGGCGTTTGTATTACTTTCACTGCCAACATAGCATAGTTACTTAATGGCAGTTATTACACATGTAGTGTGGACATAGGAACCTTTGGCAAGCTCTTGTTTCCGTCACAACTGGTTCCTAACACTGTATGGACTGCTATATACCTACATTTAATTTTTTTTTTTAAATAAATGAAAAATTTAAAACATTTGGTAACTACTTAAAGGCAAAAAGCTTTATAAATATATATTAGTGCTGTCAATCGATTAAATTTTTTTAATCGCGATTAATCGCATCAATGCCTAAGTTAACTCGCAATTCTACTAAATTTTATAGCAGTAGGGTAAAATGCTTGTCTTTGTTCAAAAGACTGTATTAACTGTAAAGACTGTCTTTTACATCAGCCTGTTTTCAGGGCCTTTTTTTTGGCTACATATTTGTTATTTTTGGCATAAATCAGTATCTGTCTCCTGTTTTAATTTTAAAACAAGAACATTGGCACAAATCTAGGCTGTATGTATTTTTTTGTATGTCATCGAGAGTATACATACAGGCAAGGTTTGTGCCAATGT